TATTTAGTTTCTATACATAAAAAATAGAAGATGTAAAAGGGCTCTAACTCTGCTTAATAAAGCTATATTTTAAATTATTTATAATATATTTCTTTGTTGCCTCTAGCTCCTTAAGGTTCTGTTTGTACAACAGACTGTAACTATTAGAGAGAGGCTCTGTAAGGACAATCTTGTAGTTATATAGACAATGTACTAGTAGCTAGTAAGCTGCTGTGTAGCTAAATACATCTTAGTACTAATAGTATTTAGAGAGTAATTAAAAGTTTACTAATGCTTTAGTTTTATGTTTAGTGTCTAACTATAAGGCTTACTTGTCTTTAATTAACTACTTAATTTTATAGATAGTAGTTAAAAAGAACTTATTTTTTTTTTTTTATATTAAAATAAAAAGCATTTGCTAAAATTAGGGTAATAGTAGCTAAATAAACCTCCTTTAGACCTATTCTAGACTTCTTAATAGATAGGCAGAAGGATAATTTAAGTGTCTTTAGACTATAGATAATAAGAGATCTGTATAATTTTAGTAGCCTTAGCAAACCTTTAATGCAGTAGATTATTAGGCTATATAACTACTAAAATTAGTTCTTTTCTTATAGTGCGTTGTGTTATTTAATATCTAGCTCTACTTCTTTGTTGTGCGTAGGCTAGGTTAATTACATAAGCAAAGGCAGTAAAAGTTTGTAGGTAGGCAGATATTTACTAGGCTATATAATTTAATTCCTCTCTATATTTAGATAGAGTTTAAAATAACGTAACTATTTAATGCTAATAATGCAATCCTAGAAGCTAAGGTCTATAATAATAAAGAGGCAGTTTTAGATGCTTCTTCTATTAATTTGCATGTGCAGGCAGATATACTAGTAGATAGGGACTTAGATCTAATCTTAAAAGCCCTTAACTATAACTTTAAATAGTAAGTGTTAAATAAGGATATAAAGGCATTAAGATAATAACTTAGTAGTTAGTAAGTTAATAAATAGAAAACTATAAGCGCTAGTATTAACTAAAGGATTTAAATAGACTCTAATGCTTTTTAAATGTAAAATAGTAGAAACTTAAAAGTGTTTTCCTCTAAATAAGTGTAATAGATTAATGTTTAATAAATTATACTTACTTAAGCTTAGAATAAAGAGTTTTCTTAGGTGTTACTATTTCTTATTTAGAAGGCATCTAGATTAAAATTATTTATGTTTATAAATTCTTTTTTAGAATCTTACTACTCTACCTTTATTTCTTATACTCTAGGGATAGAGTAGTTACTAGTAAAATGTCCTAGTTTTTTATAATTATAATAGTTGCTAGAAGTTGTCTATCTTTCTAGGGCAGGTGTCTAGCTAGATTGTCTATAGGTAACTAAGGTAGACTAGAGTACTAACAGAGGTGCAGGTTAGGGTGCACTAGAATAGTATACTGCCTTAGATGTATTACTAGAAACCTTCTAAGACTAATCTATACTAGGTCTAATAGTAGACTGTTAGGTAAGATTAACAGTTTACTTTAAAATAGCAAAAGTATTCCTTTTTTCTATGTTATAAGCTATTAAGTAGGCTACTATAGTCTTAAAGAAGCCCTTTTAAGTGTGCTTAAAACCTAAGTTTAGTACTTTTAGGCTAAGTAGTATTTTTTTCTATAAGTAGAAGAACTATTCTGCTTTTAATACAGACTCTTTAACAGCAGCACTAATAAAGTAAGCTTTAAAAGTAAAAAACACTTCTTCTTTACCTATCTTTAGAGTTTAAAACACTTATTACACTTTTATTTTTTTATTACTAGTAATAAAGTAAGTTTATAAAAGCTTAATTATTTCTTCTGCGTTTTTAAACTAAAAGTTGTCTAATTTAGCTAGGTATCTAGGCTCTAGGTATTTCTTTGCAATACCAGCAGTGTGTCCCTATACTAGCGCTATGCGTGCGCGCTTACTCTAATAGTAATCTAAATTAATGTTAAGTCTGTTTATAATAAAAGCTTACTATTATTTAAATATAGGTTCTTTGCTGTCTATAAGGTTCTTAATCTTAAGTATGTGTTTAGTAAAGTAGCTTTAAGGGAGCTTAGGGGTGCTTAAAAGGTCTTTTACTATTAGTGTAGCATAAGTAATTTAAGGCATTATTAGAGGTAATTTAGTAGTTAGTAGGGGATAATTAAGACTAATAGTTTTTAATCTAGTTAGCTGTTTAATTTATGCCTTTAATTAAGTAACTTAGTTTTTAAGGGCTATGCTGCTAGAGTTTAACTCTAAATCTAGTAGGTTTTAGCTTTAGGTTCTATAAAAAAGGGTTTAGCTATTAAAGTTAGTAGTAGTTTAGTTCTAGAGGTAAGCATCTTGCCTTAGCTATAGCTAGAATAAGTTGTAGTTTTTATAATAAGATCTAATAGTAGTTAAGAGTTAGGCATTAGTAGTTATCCCTAATTCTAATAAGTTATTAGTAGTCTTTAAGTTTCTACTTTAGCGCACTTTTTATAACTTTTTTAAAGGCAATCTTAATTATAAGAGATAGAAAGTTCTAAACTTAAAGGCTTTAGTTAATAAAAAGTCTCTAAGATCTTATCTATAATAACTAAATAATTTAATGTAATAGTGTGTAAAAATAGCAACCTAAACTAAATTAGACGCTTCTTAGAGTTAGACATAGTTAAACAAATAATTAATGTAATATTATTAATAAGGCTATTACTAGCAAAAGTAAGTTTTCTAATATAATGTAACAGCACAGGTAAGACAATAGGTCTAAATGCAGTATAAATCTACTTAGAGGCATATAGAAGTGCGTGGGGACTTAGAGACCTGGGAATACTAATAACACCTATAGGCCTTGTACGTAGGATATTAGAAAACTACTAAGCTAGCTACAGGGGCAAGGTGCAACTAAATACATGAGGGAATAGGGGTAACTGCAGGGGACTAGGTCGAGTCATGGTCGGGGCCGATACGGGGACCCTTCGGATAGGATCCGAGCGACCCGAGATGGAACGATTCGTAGAATCGTTACACACAGAAGGTTCTGCATACTCTATTTAGTATTGCGTTAGTACACTGCAGCTGCACAGTTATTAATATTAATTGTTGTTCTTTTAAATTATAGCTAGTCTTCTTCTTTTTCTAGGGTAAGCAGCCTAAAGATAATTAAGTAGCTAATAAAGGTAATAAAGCTAAAACCTATACTCTTTAAAAAGGCAAGAGCATACTGCAGAAGTACATTAAACACCTAGTAGCCTTTTCTAATATCTGCTATTTAGATTACCTACTTTATTTTAATTATAACAAGCGCCTAAAGTGTAGGCCTTAAGTAAAACTATAAATTCTTAACTTTATTCTTTAGTATAAACTATCTATTAACATTAAAAACTTCTCTTGTGTTAAATTAACATTGCACTATTTATTTTAGACAACTTTAGAGTTATACTGTGTTAATAGGCAGGTATTTGCCACTTTTACTAAGGCTTATGTAAGATGCTAAACATTATGCTATTATACACTATTAGATTCTTATAGTGACCTAAAAGTGCAGAAAGAAGAGAAGGATCCTAAGTAAGAGAATGTAGTACCTAAAAAGAGTCTCTTTTTTAATAAGCTTGCTTATTTCTAACCTAGAGATGCAGGTATCCCTGTTAATAACAAGTCCTTAGAAGATTAGCTAATTAACTATGCTAAGAATTAAAAGCATAAGGCTTACTTTAACACATTTTATTTAGATCTTATGTTATATTAGTAAGATATTAAGCAGAACTATTTAGTTAAGAATGCACTTGTAGTGTCTATTACTACGTCTAATAACTTATAAGCTAAGCAGTAGTTGCTATATAACTTAATTATTAATTATTACACTGCTTTCCTTACTAAATAGTCTCTATAACAATTGCTTATTAATCTTAACAGTGTTAGAGGGACTAGAAAGATGTATGTAATTAAGATAATATTATCTAAGCTAGAAATGTTAGTAGCTAAGCATAATGTTGCTTTACCTATCTTATAATGCGCACCTACTAGTGTTGCTGCTTATCTTATATCTAGGACAACCCTAAATTCTGTTTTCTGTATTCTAATTACTGTTAAACTAGGACCTTTGCTACTACTTGTTAATGCTAGCTTGTAAGCTTTATAAGCCTAACTATGTTCTATAAAGTATATTATTATTAATAAAAAGTTAATAGTTAGACTTAAAATGTTGTCCTAGATTTATAGAAGATGTCTGTAGGCGTTTTTTTAAAGTACAGCTCTGTTTAGCAGTATTAATATTATCTTATTAGGAGACTTTAGCCAGCTTCTTTTAGTAGGCAGGCGCCTACTATTTAATAGCTCTAGTAATAGTTCTGTTCTTAACTGCTATAGTTAACTACTATATTAGTAATTTATAAAGACAGTTGTTCTTAATGTAGTTATAAGACAGTAAAGAGATAGCTAGTTATAATTTTGTAAAGCCCTTAGCTGTCTTTACAAAGGGACAAGCACATAAAATAACTAGAACTTGTTTATAAGCTGTTGCAGTGCTTTTTTTACTAAAAGTAAGCGCTTTTCCTTCTCTACCTCTATTTGTTTGTGTAAGAAAAGGGCAGAGGTATTTACAATTAATTATTAAAGTATAAGGGATTTATGTGCACCTGTAATTATAGCTTACGCTTAGCATAATTATAGTAAGCTAGCTAAGGTGTCTGCTGCAGATAGTGGCAATCTTTATAGTTCACTTCCTCTATGCATTAGTAGGCGTGTTATGCTATTGCATAACATCTAGACTAAGGCAGGTCTTGTAAATAGATCTACTAGAGAAGTTAACAACATTATATAGTTGTTAAGTGTAACTAATTATTACAAAAAGGCGCTAAAGGCAGTCCTTATAGCCTTTCCTAATTATATAGGTCTAGGTTTGTATGTGCAAGCTAATAGTTAGGTAGTTGTTCTAATTTTTCTTATTTACTAAGAGTTTTATTAGAACTAGGTAGTAGTCTTATAAACACAGTTTCCTCTTTATTTAGCCTAGGCTATTACTATTTACAAGTCTTAGGGACTTAGTTTAGACAGAGTAGTTCTTTATATAAGTAGAAGCTGTAATTATACACTAGGGCTTATGTATGTAGTAGTGTTGCAGGTTAAATCTTTTAAAGGGCTTATGTTTAACAAACTTTTCTTTTTTAGTTGCTTAAAAAATTCTTACTTTACTATAATTAGCAAGCAAAATGCTAATATAAGTTAGAGGTTGCAGTAATTAGTTAAGAGTATAAACTATTTATTTAAGTAGCTATAAGTTATCTAATATGTCTAGGCTACTTTCTCTTCTACTTCTAGTGCTTGTCTAGCTTAAGCATGTTAATAAACTAGGTTAAATCTACTAGCACTATGTTATCCCTAGCTTAAATAGTATCTAGCAGGTACTTTACGTCCTCTATATTAAACTAATTTGTCTAGAATGCAGCTTAATGTCTGTGTAATATTATTAGCTAGTGTTTAATACTTTACTTAATACTAAACTTACTTAGGATTATTAAGGAACTTATAATTAAATAGTTTTAAAAGACTAATACTCTTGTCTAAGGTTGCTAGTTAAATATTAGAAGCTAAAAAGTAACTGCCTAGCTGTGCAGCATACAATACTGTTATAATTGCCTATTTAGCCCTTAAGAATAGTATCTTAAAAAGTAGAATTAGTAGCTAGAAGAGACTGTTAATAGCAACAACTTTGCAAAAAGCTTAATTAGTAAAGTTAAATGCTAATTTAACTATAGTAGACTATATCTTACTATTAGCCTACTTAAGAAATATTATAGCTGTTAATAGAAAACTTACTTAACATTAACAGTCTTAAATATTGTTGCTAATAGGTAGTAGGTACCTAGAAAAGCCTGCACATATCTAGTCTATATAGCGCTGTAAAGTATTAGACAGGTATTAGACAGGTATTAGATAAGTATTAGACAGGTATTAGACTAGTATTAGACTAGTATTAGATGTATTAGGTGGCATATGCTTACCTAGAATATAGTATTGTTTATATGCCAGACATAGGCGCAGAAGTTGTGCATCTTTAGAAATTTAATCTTCTTATTAGTACTAGTAACTGCATCTACTAATATTAATTTAATATATCTTTATTAGCGCAGCTTATTAGCTTTCTCTATGTCTATTATTAGTACTGCAAAGAGTGGACTGCTATTGTTTAAAGTGTTATTATATTAGGGATTAACAGCGTTTGTAGGCTCTAGACTGTTAATATCTATAGGCTCTATGTCTAGGTAGCAGTGTTAGGGAGGCATATATGCGTCTAGAAGTTTAAAGAGTGTAGTTTACTTAATAAAGAATGCATGTTAATTACTAAATTTACTAGGGTCTGTACTACGCTTAATAGCCTTTTAGCTGTAATGTTTGCTCTTACTAAATTTATAACAGATTAGCTACTATCTATTACCTATTTAATACTATATGCACTTACTATATTGCTGTTGCAATATTTTTAAATTGCATATATAGGTGTGCTTCTAGTTTAGACTTTTTATTATTATTATGTTTAGCATCTAATAGATGCTGTACTGCTAGGCAGAATTTGTTAGTCTAGAATTTAGAGTAGGCTGTATTAGTCGCAATATAGTCTAAATTATGCTAGGCGCCCTCTCTAGTTAGCAGGGTCTGCTGCTTTAGATTTTACACTGTGCTTAGGTTAGTAGAGTATTCTAATAGGCTTTTCTTGCGCTTTGCTATAGTGCATGTAGTAGTAATAAATAAGTAATAGATAATTTATGTAAAGATTTATATAATATTGCGCTATACTAAAAATTAACTAGTAGCGTTGTAGAAGTAAGAAGGTATGTGTAAGTCTAAGTAATTAAAGTCCTTAAACATATGCGCAGGCTATTGCGTTATTTAGGCAGCAGCCTACCACGTGGTGTAGTGTGTTGCTACAGTAAATAGCAGTAAGCTAGTTAAATTTTTTTTATTTATTAGAAATTTTACTTTTGCTTACTTTTACTAACTATAGTTTTATGTGTCTAATACAACATCTAATACTGCGTTTAATACTGCTAAATATAATAGTTTATTATAAACTTAGAGTTTTTAATGTAATTTATAAGAGCTAGTTATGTAACAGTACGCGTTCTTAGTTACTAGTATAATATTAGTGACGCAGTTAGGGTCCTAGTAAAGTTACTAGGTAAGTAGTAAAAGTAAAAGTTAGCTTTAACTAGGTTACTACCTAACTTTTTAAACCTTTACACCTACACTTTTACTGCTACTTACCCTAAAACTAACCTACTGCTAAGTAGTAGCTTTTTTACACTATTTTTGCTAACTTTTACTCTATGTATGTACTTATTTACTTATAATGCTGTTTTACGCTAATATTAGTTTAGACTTATGTCTAGTTTATTACTTGCTTTATAGCATTTACTTAGTTAAAATGTCTTGCTCTTATCTTTCTCTAGTAAATAGTGCTAAAAAGAGTATAGCAATAGTAATAGACATAGTAATAGACACTGCTAATGCATTTTAGCTCTTTCTAAAAAAACTCTACGCAAAGCTCTTTATAAGGCGCCTTAAAAAGCTCCCTGCTTTGCTCCTAGGCTAGATAAAGGATAAAAGAGTTAGAAAACTCTCTACTAAAAGTATAGTAATCTGCTGCCCTTACAGCAAATTACTTACAGGAAGGGAGGCGCCTGTGTTCTATTATAAAAGGGGACTAGTAAGGGTTAGAAGCTTTAGAAGGATAAGTGTATATTAAATCTTATTCTTATGTACCTTATTCTATACTAATTATAGGTAGTGGCAACGCTTTAACAAATTAAGTATTACTAGTTAGCTAAGCAGAATACTTGCTTTTTTTTTACTATTAATCTCTTTTATTGTCTAGTTTACAAAATTACCTAGAATGTTAGTTATAATAACTCTATTACTTTCTAGTAGAGCGCTTAAGCACTCTGTGCATTATAGATAACTGCTAAGTCCTTTATTATAACTCTAATAAAGTGTAGGTGTTAATAGGTTAGTATTAGACAAGGTATTAGACTAATAGGGTTATAAGTACACAACAGGCTGCTATCTATAGCAAATGTATTACTATCTAGGCTTAAGATGTTAAATTTATTCTCTGTATTACTTAAGACTTTAGACAGTACTATAATTTTATAAATAATTATTTAGATAGGAAGAAGTAGGGTCTCTTCTAGTCTATAGTGTTTATTAGTAGTATAGGCATCTACTTAGTTAGGCTAGTGCTTGGAATAATTCACTTTTTAAGGGTTTTTAGGCTGCAGATAGCTCTAGTCTGTCTGCTACACTTACAGCCTTCTTACTAAGGCCACTTACAATACAAAATAATTTCCTGCAAAGGGTTTTTAAGCGTGAAATAACAGCGTTCTTAAAGCAAGCTCTGCTTTTACAGATTATTTATAAACTGTTGTAGTATTTTATCTTTATAAATAAGGTGTTAAGCTTATTATAAAAGTGTATATTACTACTACTATAAAAGCTTCTAGGCTAGTAAGCATTACTATAAGAGTTGTATAATACAGGAGGTTGCATAAGCTAGCAGACTTAGCAAGAACTGTAAGGCATTACTTTGCTAAAATACACAAAAACATATATAATAGCAACTAGGTAGTAATGCTATACATGCAACTAGACTTAATTAGGCAAGGCCTATTATCTAATGTTCTCTAAATCTCTGTGCAGTAGAGCTGCAGCTAAAAGCAACTATAATCTAGTAGAGCCTGTAGGCTATCTAGTAACAGCCTGTACGCTATCTAGTACTAGTGCAACTAAGTTAACTTAAATAGAAGATCTCCCTAAGAAGAAACCTTTATGTTCTACTCTTTCTTCTTACCTGCCTCTGCTAAGGTAGGTAGTAGCTCATAGGATATAGGGCTAATAGTAGGGATAGTGTTTGCAGTAGTCGCACGATAGTCGGGTGCGTCGTCACCATGATCGGATGCTTCGTCATCATAGTCGTATGCATCTCACCATAAGTCTGTTGCCAAGACTCACCCACTCATTTCGCATATATATAGACTCCTACAAAGGACTTCTCTAGCAATAGATTCAATGCAGTTCCTTATGCCTCTGGTGCCTCACATAGCTTCACAGATAGTCTACCTATCCCCCTCCTTCTTAGAGCGCGTCCTGAGCCCTTAGAAAGAGGTAGCAAAGGTTAGTTTAAAGAAATTTAGTTGCTAAACCTTACATAGTGTACTAGCAAACTAGATGTAGCCTAAAGCCATCTAGAAGGCCTAAAGGCAATCTAGATACAGCCTAAAGACTATCTAGTAGTAATGCAACTTCGCAAAGCTAGCAGGCAATTGCAGGCCTATAAGCCATCTGGGTACGCCCCGGAGGCAAACCAGGTGTAGCCTAAAGCCATCCGGGAGGCCCATAGGCGATCCAGATACGGCCCAGAGGCAAACCAGGTACTGCCCAAAGCCACCCAGAGCTTAAGGGCAGTTGCATTACAAAGCTGTCTATGTTGCACTTCTCCCTAAAACAGAAGGTGCTTTACGCTGAAATAGGAGGTGTTTCGCGCTAAAACACAAGGTTCTTAGCGCTAGTGCAGCTGACAACAATCTTGCATTCAACCACGACCACTGTATCCGCCTATTAGTTGATAGGATTGCTCGAGAGCTTAAGCGCTCAATCAGTGTTCGTACGCAAAGTAGCCGGTGAGGGCTCGGATCAATGACGGGGCATAGGCAGCTCAGTGGATGGGCGGCTCGCAAGCTGACGATCAAGGATGAGGGGTACCTGCATCTCCTGTCAGTTGCGATGCCTAAGCTGCGCTGCGCGGACTGCTCATCCTAAGGGGATATGTGAAGGTTTATAATGTGAGAGGTATTAAGCAGGAAACACAGGTCACAAAGAGGGAATGCAGGATAGGGGGGTAACGAGAGAGAGTAAACCTTAGGGTTGGAGGCAGAGGTACGGAGGCCGAGGAGCCTATATACCCCGTGCCAAGCCCTTGGGGGTACTCAGAGGTCGGATAGCTGTAACATAACCGTGACATTAACCTTCTAGCTAGCACAGCAGAAGGATATATATAGACAGATAGCTGTATGCGACACACCCCCTAGCTTAAACAGTGGAACAAGAGAGGTAAAACAACCTTAACACACTCTCTTCTAGCCTAAGCAATAGAACTTAGAGACAGATCTAAATACAAAGTAGCCTCTGTAATAGGTGCACTGCCTAAATGCTTTTTGCTAAGCGTAGGAATTAAACACACAGTGCTTAGAGATAATGCAATTCTATTAGTAGCGCAGGGGTGCAAAAATTTTCATGCGCTAACTATCTACACTACACTGTAAACTAGGCTTATAACTATTGCGTTTTGCTAAAAGGTTAACCTCCTAGCTAGCACAGCAGAAGGATATATATAGACAGATAGCTGTATGCAACAATTATTAATAAACCTATTACTAGTAAAAGTAAGTTTTTTAATATAATGTAACAGTACAGGCAAGATAATAGGTCTAAATGCGGTAGGAATCTACTTAGAGGCATATAGAAGTGCGTGGGGACTTAATAACCTAGGAATTCTATTAACACCTATAGGCCTTATACAAAAGGATATTAGAAAACTACTAAGCTAGCTAAGAGAAGAGGTGCAACTAAATACTTAGGAAAATAGGAGTAACTGCAGGGGACAGGGTTAAGTTAGAGTCAGGGCTAATACAAGGACCCTTCGGATAGGTTCCGAGCGACCCGAGATGGAACGATTCATGAGAATCATTACAACAAAGACTTCACTACTAGCTAGAGACAAGCTAGAATAAAGGAGAAACAGAAAAATAAAGAGAAAAATAAAGAAAGAGAGATAAAAAAGCTAGTAAAGATAATAAGCTTAACTATTATACTATTTACCTTAAATATAAGTCTACTATATCTAGTTATGCGTTTTATAGCACTAGTACTAATTATATAAGATAGTTTATTAAGTAACGTACCTAACGGGTTGGCCGGCCACACGGGTTGGCCGGCCACTTTTGCCAAGCCCCCACTAAACTCTACCTATCTACATAATGCCTTAACAACAACACTAGATTAAATCTTCTAAAGAATGTTAGATACAGCTTACTCTTTAGGCTTTTAAATAAGACTTAAAACTTTCCTTATAACACGCTGCAGCTATCTATAATGTCTCTCACACAACACTAAGCAATTAACGCGCTAGACAGCCTTTACAAGTAAAATGCTAGCCTAAATTAAAGAATCTAACTAAGCTTAAAAAGAAGGTAGTTGTTAAGTACATACTTAAGCTTATTACACACAGATTTCCCTCTAAGCTTATAGCTATAGCTAATATAGCTAATTCCTTGCTTATAGAGCGTAATCTCGGCTAGGTTAGCTTAAACTAGACTAGTATATAGGTTAAGCACTGCCCTAAGTTTATAATAAAGTTTAATTATAAGTATAATTATAAAAGAGTGCTCTATAAAAATCTAAAGGTTATCTAGGGCTAGTTTTGCCTAGTAGCTAACATAAAAGCTAAGTACAGTATCTAGAATAAAGATAGGTATAACTTTAACAAGTTAAGCTTTATAATAAGCTAGATATTAACTAGAGCAGTTATTACAGCTTTAAAGAAATAAAGACAGCTAAAGGTAATATAGTAAGGTAATAAAAAGTAAATAATAGTTATCTAGGGCATTAACATAATAAAGTAAGCTATAAGATTATAAAGCTTTAAGTAGTAAATAAAGCTGCCACGCAACATAAATTACATAAAAGAAAGTAAATTTAGGCAAAAAAGACCTTAATAGTTAAGAATAGAGCTTGTCTAACTACTCTAAAGGAGTTTAGAGCGCGTAGTGATAGGAAGAAGCTAAAGACGCAGGTGCGTGCTAAAAAAGGTAAGCTAAGTTAAAGGCAATGCAGGCAGTGCAATTAGACTAGGCATAACTTGTGTATATGTAAGCAAGTAGTAAAAGTAGACTCTAAATAATATCTTGTGTTGTATTACTTTATACAGGGCTAAAGTGGGCTGTTTTGCGAGAGAATGGGGTGGTTTTAGTGGGGGCTTGGCAAAAGTGGCCGGCTAACCTGTGTGGCCGGCCAACCCGTTAGGTACGTTATAGGCTATATAATATCCTTAAGCTACTCTATAGAAAAAGGCTATAGTAATATAGCTTATAAGTTTATTTTCTTTACCTAGGAATATACTAGTAAAAGAATAATTAATTCATGCTTCTAAAGCCATGGCGTAGAGTTAAGATACAGGCCTTTACTATAGCCTACGTTTTTAGTACTTTAAGAGTTTGTAACGAGCGTCAAAGCAAGTAGGATATTGAACCCTCCTAGTTTGTCACTCGTTACATCCCCAGCTTCCGAAACCGCCCCGACCCGCCCCCGACCTCATAACCCTACTCCACATGACCCCTAGCTCCAAGTCTAATTCAAGGACGTTGATCCCTGTTCCTCTAATACCGCTCCGACCCTGGCCATCAAAAGAGTATATAGCTCGCTAGTCCTAGGTAGATAGTTCTGTAGTTTTTGATTTCCTTTCGTATTAGACCTATAGGTGTCCGGAGACAATATTATCCTCGGTTCTTGAGTCCATCACGCACTCCCATATGCCTTTAAGTAGCCTACCCTAGTCGGATAGTCTTCGGTCTTGCCTGCGTCGTTACAAAGTAAATCTAATACGAAGGAGAGAATACATCCCCAGACGTACCCAATAGTCCTAGGGCTCAAATAGAATGTTCGGAAGAAGCGGAGGCAGGCAATGCGTATGCGGAAGCTCACTAGTCTACACAAGCATATAGGTCACTTGCTTGAGGAGAAGGTAAGTAGATAAACTAAATGAATATTTAGATGAGCCTGCACAACTCCTAAGTCAATAGCAAATTACTCTTGAACGTTACAGCCCGTATTAAGCAAATTGTATATAACTTAATGCGTATATACGAAAGAGATTATGCTCAGATCTTCGAGAGAAATGTTTCCTGCTGAGCTTCAATCTCCTGTGTTAATATCATGGTGTAACACGTATTGGGTACGCGAGTGAACTTGCGACTCTTCAGGACGCCTCTCCGGGCCGACAAATCTCATTGGGACCCCTATCCAGGAAGAGAATTCCTGGGACGCCTCTCCGGGGCGACATATCTGACTGGGACCCCTGTCCGAGGCGACAGATCTGATTGGGACCCCTGTCCGGGAAGAGAATTCCTGGGACGCCTCTCCGGGGCGACATATCTGACTGGGACCCCTGTCCGAGGCGACAGATCTGATTGGGACCCCTGTCCGGGAAGAGAATTCCTGGGACGCCTCTCCGGGGCGACATATCTGACTGGGACCCCTGTCCGAGAAGAGAAATCCGGGGATTGATTGATTGATTGATTGGTTCATAGGCTGTCCCAGCCGCTCTAGCGAGTTGAAACTATGAACTGGGAACAAGTGTGATCATTTCCTCACGAGCAGGAATTGGCTTCCTTGTGGGGAAAAGCTTCCGGGGGGAAAACGACTCACTTTTCGTCGCCTAGATGCTTATATAAGCAGCGTTCGCGATTTATAATAGCACGAATGCGGGGCCTGCAGCGGGGTGGTGGCTATGCAACGGTTGTGGCGTGGCGTCGTGTGGCGTATGCCGCCTCCGCATCATATTCTTCAGTAGATCAGATAGGTCATCCGCGTCTGTTGTGTCTTTCTTGGAATGAAATATCTTGCATAATTCTAATGGGGGGATCGTGGATGGATATCAGTGCGGGAACTGTACTGGTCAGTAAGGGCACGGGCTGGATTATGCCGGAACACCAGAAAAGAACCAAAGGGTCTCAGCCAACAACTGTTAATCTGCAGGTGCTGTACGACTGAGCCGACACTTCTAAAAGCCTCCGCAGCTAGATTTCGCTAATTGAGTGACACTCTGGATTATATTGACGGAATCTGACTTGCGTCTGCGTCTGTGCTACGTCTTGGTGAGCGCTGAAATTCCCCGACCTCTCCGGTGGCCGCTCGTTAGTATATACGTGCTAGGGTAAGGAACTCGACGAAGTTAATTTGAATTTGCCAAGTACCCCAAAAAACTGTCGAGATCAAGACTTGAGAAGTCAGTGAGCTGCTAGAAACATAACAAGAACGGCGAAATTTATTCATACGGAGCAGCGCAATGGTGTCCTCTACCGACGCTACCCAACCGCACTTCCGCCTCCCTTCGCATATCGCGGGATCCAAATCAATGCCAACGTTCAGATTCCAGGCGCCTCTCGAAGAGCTATTCCTGGGAGAATGGTTCATGATCCGTTCTTCCAACGGCTTCCGGAAAGACAAAAGAAACGTTCGCTGCCAGTACACCGCCACCGCTTCCCACATCGAAGACGAAGCTTTTTATCAGACAGTGAACTCAGATACGGTAAAATCTGTGGTCGGTAAGGATACGGCCTGTGAGGGGAACGTGGGGGTGTACTCTTGGCAAGGGAAAGGCTTGCTCAGAGTGGCCAGTGCAAGGTGGGAGGTGTTGTCCTTTACGGCACGTTCGGAGAACAAGGACTGGATGTTGGTGTTTGCGCATCAGTCTATTTTCACCTCAGCTGCTATCAATTTGATGTGTCGGAGTCAAGATGGCTTAAACGAAGAAGACATGCGGTTGGTGGAAGGTTGGCTTTCTTCAGTTGCGGAGAATAAGTTTCGGCAGATTGTCTCGAATTTGGCGGATATCAAACAGGAATGAGCTTGCCTGGATACACGCCGGCGAGGCGCCGCGCTCGCTCTAATTCTCATCAACCAACTCGTGCTATCTACATACGAGGATCGCTATTTGGACCGTGTTTTAAGAAGTATTTTCGTGTCCATCCGAGGAACCAGTGCGGTAGTCCAAAAAAAAGATCGCGGTGCTTGTTCGTCAACCAGCTTCACGTCATAGTTCATTATCAAATGAAGAATTGCTAGCTTCATCGTCTCCGACACATACCATCTGCCAGGACTATTCGATGATTAGTCGTATAATGCATTAAGAACTGACTGGCCACTTACCATGGTTTTCTTGGGGATCCCCAGTAAGGATAAGAAGTGTTCACGTCAGTATATCTTGTTGTGAAATCCTTCGCTTGTGGCTGACCGGGCGGCGAAAGGTATCTAAACGGATTGAACGATTCGGGGTCGGGGTACAAATGCTCGTTCCGGAGTATTGCTTGTTGGGGTACTGCTACAAGGTTGCCGGCTGGTATCCGTGCTCCGCTAGGTAGGTCAAACGGCTGCATCACTTTCTTCTGAATCGATACTGAGAACGTTGGTCAGAACACCACATGCCTGTGATGCGAGCTTTGTCTTACATGCGTCTAAAGGGTTCAGTCTCGCTGATTCCCGTAAAAAGGCATCCAAGAGTATTAGGCGTTTGAAAGGGTTGCTCGCTTCTTTGTCCAGTTTGCTACTGGCTTCTTCTCGCAGAAGCTTGACATACTCTGGATTAACGCATAGTGTGTATATTGCATAGACTAAAGCCTAGTATTCGTAAGCACCTGTTGGTTACGAGTTATATTTATATGTAATTACCATTGGCATTTGGTGTGATGAGGCGAAGAATATCGCTCCCGCTTGTTGCAAAAGTCTCCCCGGGGCTCTTTGCGCGTTGGTATGAGAGGATTGTATGATCCATTGAAGACAGTCCATCTATATACTTTAGTAGAAACATCTTAGGTGTCAGTGCAGTTTGGCTTACAGGCTGATTAGAACCCCGGCTGCTCCCCTGAATCCTCGCTTCAACCACTCTTTGAAGCGACGCCTGGACTTTGTGCATCGCGCCACTCCATTTCATGATTACCGGTGCAATTAGTCTAGAAAGCTCAGTAGCTCTTCTTGGACATGAAATCAGGAACGTACGGTGTAAGAACCGAAGGGAGCTGTCGACAGATCTCAGCCGCTAGTATAGCATCGTGACTGTATCTACTAGCGGCCTCCATGAAATTTGGTGAATCCGCTATGCCAGTGTAAGTTAAAAGAACTTAAAAAAGACTAGCATCGCCTTACCAAGCTCCGTACCCAGGCAGATTTGAGCGTTTACACGTTCGGTAATACTCCTAGCCAAGCCGAAAGTGGATACACTCATCCATCCTATTCAAAGTGCTTAGATGTGGCGCGGGACACAATCGCGGTATACCTACCATCCGAGTCCGGAGAGCTGCTACCCAGCATGTAGTTGAAGCCTTCATTGATTCTCTTCTCGATCATCGGTCGAATTGCAGGGAGGTGGATGCGAAGCAGGACTTTGATAGTGCGTCCTGGGATAGCGTTGTGGGGATCGATATCATTGTGCTCAAAGCCGAACATGGTGTATTTATGCTTAAGGCGCTGTTCGCTATTAATATTGGAAGAAGGGTTGACTTTTGTACCCTTACGTCGGTCATAGCAGCATGGAACGATAACTTGTCCTCGCTGGCCTCACTCACTGACTGAATATCTGGGCCCGAACATGCAAGTACTTGGTACTCGTTCAATGCAGGTACTGCAAACGACCTCCCATCCAGGTCTTTGTATGCTCGCAGAATCATGAAAGGCGCATCTAGAATGAAGTCGAGGTTGAAAAAGCATTTCCCTAGCGCAAAGGATCTGTACTTGATAGGGAGGCCTGTCTGCGTAGTAGTGAATAAGCTATGGGCGTGAGATTTGGGAAACTGTTTGGAAACTCACTGGTCGACGGAAGTGCATTTGGAAAACAGCAACGATTCTCCACAAGGTTAAAAACCCAAGGACGAGGCCGATGCCGGCGGACTTTGAGGGAAGCCTCTCGACCACCCTAAGGAAAATTTTGTGTACCTGGGATTGCAGCATCGCGAACAGTTAAAAGGGTTGGCTTGCTAAGTCATTGATGGGAAACAGAGCCGACAATCTCGCTTCTCGAGGCTGAAGAGCCTGAACGAAGGAAGGGGTACATTGTCGAACATATGGCCGACAAATGGCCCCAGCCTCCGTCCCAGAGCTTGTGAGTCAAGCGTAGCTCGTAGTACCACGGGTCGCAAGCAAATTCGTGGCCGTATTGGCGCCTGAGCTTTGAGGTGCACGTATATTGCGGCATGGTAAGATGCGCCGCAACCTAACGCCTTATCAGTCAGAACCTCACTCATATGAGAAGGAGTTCAAGTCCGCTGCAGGTTGAAGCCCCCTGCAAGCTGATGTCCGTTGCAGGTTATGGAGGTCGTCAGCGTCATCTGGTGCGGGTCATCATTCGTAGGGGTGGTATCCCTCTGGGAATAGTGAACCCTTGCATACAAAAATTCCTTGTTTGCCTGAATCACCTGCGGGCCCAAATAGCTTACGGCTTGAAACATCCTCGCAGGCTAATTTTCCTTATAGCAATACGTCCAGGGTGTTGAGGCGAAATGGTGGCGTAGGTGCCATAGAAGGGCTGCACAATTTTGCATCTAACTCATCCCGGAACGGACCGCACCAGTACCTATATGGACCGGTCTTGACCGTGGTAATACTCTCACGTGAATAAGATGTCGTACAAGGCAGAGCACTGGCAAGAACGGCACTTCGGGGACGTTCGCCGTTTTATTGTCAATTCATTTATTTACTTCACTGCCTCCCTATCCTACGCCTCAGGCCGGCTTCTCCGTATCTGACACTAGGTCTTGGTTGCAAGGTCGAGACGCCATGTTGCCCCTCTCTCGTGTTGCTTTATCAATTTTCTTGACGTTAAGCCACTGCATACCAAGCGCAAACGGTACAGCCACTGCAGCAGTCGCCAAAGCGACGAATAATGTGTTCCTCACTGCATCAGCGTAGCAATCCTGTAGGAACTTCAGGATTGCAGGGTCATGCGTGAACGCCTTCAGACCTGTCGGACCGGCTCCAAGGACGAGAGCTGGGTCGAGATGACCCACTTCGGGGTTGTGCAGTTTCCTTGTGATGTCACGTTGAAGACTAGTGGATAATACACTCTGCGCGATTGCGATTGCGATTGCCCTAAAGAAAGAGCTGTATCAGTGTACATTCAAGCGGATGAGCTGCGGAAGAAGTGAACGTACGCTCCAAGCTGTGAGAAGAAGATCATGATTGCTGAACAGACTATAAGCATGAAAGCTGAATAACACGAATTCGTGAAACTCACCGTTGCCAATGGGCACTTCATCGTCGCTGCAGGTTGTGTCAGATAAAGGTCCAAACGGTGTGTGAACCGTGATGCATACCTTAGGACGGCCTGCACACCAGTGAAGGGCATCTGAAGACCCATACCAAATCCAATACCGGAAATAACCAGGTAGACCGCAATCACCGGGTAAGGCGTCGTGATGGATATTCGGGTGAGTAAAACGGTCCCAATGATTGCTACAATCTGACCCAGCACCATGTAGGGGACCTAGAACTATTAGCATTATTATCACCCTGGAAAGAAACGTACATAGTATCCCCATCGCGTTGCAAAGGCTCCCACTACGACAATGGCAACAATCTGGGCCAGTCCCAAAGGCATCGCCTTCACCCCACTTGAAGTCGCTGAGATAAGCTGCGCCGATTGAAAGTAAAAGGGTATGTAAAAAAGGTCCTGCGGACGCTTTAGTGGAAAAGGCGAAGACATGATAGGAGGGGGCAGAAACTTACAACGTAGATCGCCATTTCGAGAAAGAAGAGATATGCTGCTCCCATGAAGATGGATCGCTGCCCAAGGATTCGCAGGGGGATCGTTGCTGAGTTCTCTTTCTTCCATTGAACGAAACCGAATGCGGCCACCAAGAGTAACGCACCAACGAAAGCTCCAATAACTTTAGACTGTCCCCAGTGTCCAGATTGCTGGCCCCATTGAAGCGCTAGTATTAAGCATGTAACGGCGCCTACAATAGCGGTAATTCCTAGGAGATCGAGCTTTCTGAGCCTTTTCTGCCATGGTAATGACTTAACTTGCCCCTGTTTTCCAATTCGAAGAAACGCGACTACGAGGGTGGTCGAAACGGCTCCTATCGGCAAGTTACTGGGTACTGAGTCAGTGTATTACAAGGTTGGTAGGGAGTCGTATACCAACATCCAGAAACACCAGCGCCATGAAGAATGGTCGGTGAACACCCCTCCTAGTGGTGGTCCGAAACAAACTGCAATACCAAAGACGCTAAGCACTATCCCGAGGTATAGTGGTCGCTTTGTGAGTTCTACCGTGAGCCCAACCACAGCTAATGCTCCCTGGTATAAACCTGCCGCCCCTATCCCAGCCACCGCTCGACCGACGATAAAAACTGAGGAGCTGGGTGCGGCGGCACAGAGAACGGAGCCGGCCTCAAATATCAGAATAGAGAGGAGATAGACTTCTTTCGCGCTGAAGTATCGGTATATGCTCCCAAAAGCAGGCTGGAAGGCGGTAACTGTGAGAAGATATGCCGAGCCGTACCACTGTATATCTTCAAACGCCTTGAAGTATGTAGATATTTTCGGAACGGCAACGGTGATGATGGTGGTGTCGATAGCAACAAGTAGAGTACCCAGACAGAGAGAAGCTGTGACGAGGCCGAGGCGCCATGAACGCGGGTAGGCAATCTCCGAGGTTGCTTTATCGCTGTCAATTTGCCCACCAAAGCTGGGATCAGGAGCGATAGTTTCTCTTGTGAGGCCGAAGCTCGTGGGTGTGGTTTCGACGGAAGGTTCCATTCTCTTGCGTGTTCGTTTTCGGGGCTCTTAGTCCTGTCCCACGAGTATTATCAACGGGTGTGTCGGTAAGACATGCTTAGGGGGCGAAGGCCTCAGGTAGGGCGAATGCTGCCTCTTACACTACCTGCGTACCGCTGGCTTAGGTGCGGCCGGCGCTTATGCAGTGCGCCGCAACCGGCGGTCCGATATTGTTGATTTAATGAAGGCGCAGAGAGTTCGAATCTGCAGATCGATTCTCGGTCCCTTGCACCATGTTCGGTGAGGCGATACCTACTACTGTGCCACATTTCTTCGTCCTTCTAACCAACTACCCAGTCCAGAAATTGTCGCCGTTTATTAAAGTCCCCGACAGTGCAACCATGCCAGCACAGGACAAAAGGCCACTCGCCTTGAATCGCTCAGCGCCTGATCCAAAAAGGCTGTAAGGGATGGTAGAATCGTTCAATCCCTGATTAGTGCGCCACATCATAGGGTACATGTAAGCAGGGACGCTCCATGTAAGAAATATTGAAACCCAAAGAAACCCCACGCTCCTTTCTGCTGCCCTCGGCATCCTCGCTGTGGAGGATCCGTAGGCTCTGATGACGATATCCTCAGCAACGAGGCCCAATACTTGAACAAGAAAGAAGCTCATTGCCCCCGAATTCTCAAGTGTGATGCCTGATGCGATATCATCCAGCATATGCATAACCCCAGAGGACAGAAATGCGACCAGTATTCGCAGATATCTTGCCACAACTGTTCCACGAGGCAGATTCAGCGAATTGTGAACCGTATAATGGGCGATGGACGAGAACTTTCTCGCATTCGTTTGATGCCAGAATACGCTGTTTAAGTTAGCATGACACGTTCAAAGGAGTGTTACCATACTTCCAAAATGATCTGAGCGTGTACGTGTCTCTCGGCGAGCCGTAGAATGGCGGCCAATCTTGGGGGTCCGAAAGATTTAGCGCTACGGAAACAAGGGCAAAGACATGGTATATGCCTCCTTGGACACAGTTCAAGCCGATCCCAGCCGCTAAGACGGTGAAGAATCGAATGACCAGCTCCTCTGCCGAGACGTCCCGGAGTCGAGTGAGGAGGGGAATCTTGTCCAATCCCAGATACTTAGCCGCAATGGTGGGGTCGTTCATAGAGTTGATGAGATCTAGGAGAGTATACGATGTCGCAATGGCGGCGAAGGTCCGCATGAGGAAATGGGTTCGTTCTTTACGGCCGACCTCAAGGGGCCTTGGAGTGTTCCGGACTTCATACGGAGTGCCAACAAAACGGAAGGATGATGTTACTTTGAAGCCAAAGTGAAACCTAGCCAGGACCGTGTTATTGACAATCCTCTGTCTCTTCTCCGCCGAAACTTTGTCGGTATTGGCGACGCCTGATGATGGTCGGACCAAGCCGCTGACAGGAGCATTGTCGCGGAAACTCCAGCGGCTGAGTAAAGCAACATCAACGTAGTGGTACAGGTACGTAACGGCATAGCCGCCCACTAGGGCCGCCCAAGGAGTGCGTATCATGTATGGCATGCATTGCGGGATGCAGCAGACCATGCACAAGGCAACAGGGAGTAGGGCAATGAGGCGTAAACGAGAGGTCGGATGAGTGAAGCCAACGACGAACACTGTGAGTATGAACTCTGAAACCAGGTAGATGATCGGATGCATGGTGGCAGATTAGCAGCCAACGTTGTGGAATTGAAAACGTACTGAGACTTGACGGTATATATGCGCACGCGCTGTGGAAGTTTCCGAAGCCCGGCGGCGCAGGGCTTTGTGCTACCCCACAATATTGGCTGAGTTGGATGTATTTTTGATAACTTAAGCGCGGCCTCCGGTTAGTTAGCTTAGCAACCGAAAGTTGCAGTCTTATCGCCCGCACCTGCGAGCTCGCGGCGCAGTCCAGTTGCCTGACGCGGCCGGGCGCCCTTGTCGGCACGGAGTAAGCGGAATTTTGCAATATTCATATCGGCTCGGTCCGAGCCCTCTACGGCAAATGCGGTGGATCAGTGCTGAGTCGGAGGGCCGCGAAGCCTTAAGCTCCCCTGTTTGGAGGAGTCATTCACCAAGCGATCTCAAAATCTCCCGCGACCAACCCGAGGACGAAATTGTCTTTTGTCGGCCTTACAGCTACATACACATCTTAGGGTGACTCGAAAGTTAATGTTGCTTCCTAGGATGGAGGTTCCTTCAAACTCCCCAGTGTTGGGTTCGCGCATCACGGAAAACACGCTCCAGGTCAGTTGCCGCAGTCCGCGTGGAACAGATAGCTAAACTTGGCAGGCTACGCTGTGGGCCGGCGTCGCAATTTCCCTCGTTTTTGTAGCGGTCCGCTTGTGGATTCGCATCCGGGTCTTCCGCCGTCTCCAGCTCGATGACCCGTTCGTAATCGCAGCCTGGCTGCTATCGGTAGCCAATGCGGCCATATGGACGGCCATCAGCAGAGAAATATACTTTGATTCTGATCTAGCAAACAGTAGACTCGAACAAATACCTCCGGACTTCATCCAGCGCTTGGAACGCCTCATACGAGGAAATCTTTCGGCGTACCTTCTGGCATATGCAAGCTTGTGGAGTATCAAAATATCCTTCATCGTGTTCTTTCGAAATTTTGGTGAGAAGCTGCGGAACCAACGGATTGCGTGGTACGCAGTCTTAGGGTTTTGCCTTGCTTCATTTGCGGTCTGCATTGGTACCGTTGACTATCGATGTCTAACGAGCAAGGGCATGAAGATGATCAGTATGCGTTCTTACCCCTCTGATGTGCACTTCTAATTTTGCAGGTGTCTGCAGGGAGCCTCGTACAACCACATTCGAATTTGTTACTCTTCGCCTGACCACCGCGCTAGACGTATTGACCGATTTTTCCAGTAAGTAAATGTTCAAAGTCTTACTTCCTAGCCTAATGAGAGCAGTAATTCTTCTTTCTACGAATGTTCTTTGGCGCATCCGTCTTCGACTTTGGACAAAACTGGCACTGGCAGGAATCTTCTCTCTAACCCTGTTTGTCATTGCGATTGCTATCGTTCGCATTGCAAACGCATCCAGCAGCGGGAAACTCGATCTGAGCTGGCTGGTATGCTGGCAAGGGATCGAGCTCTCTGCCGGTACGTGCATACGTCCCTCAAATATTAAGCACTTCACTCACCGTCTTTCCTGGTAGCTCTCATTATAGTTTGCATAGCCTCATTTCGAATCTTGTATACGAGCACACAACACTCGAATCGGGACGTCGCCCTTCAAAAATATTATAAAAATCTGGATGATTCGAAAATATCCCGCTCGAAGGTCACCCGTGTCGATCGGTCTGAGCCCTCATACACATCTAGGGTCAGTTTAGAACAGGCTTAGGCATTGCGGGAAGATGAAAGCAAAGAGACTCACTGCCGAAGATGCCTGAGACCGGCTCTAATTTGATTCTATTTTATAGCGCTTCGTATACCGCAGACGGCCTTCTTAATTGCACATGTTGGTGGCGAGACAGTGAGGGCCGTAGAATGAGACAGATTGAAAGTTTAACTGCTCCAAATAATGTAACGAAAGCGAGTACATTTCGGCACATACTGGTTCCTGGACCGACTCTGGATGAATTCTCAAGTACTCCTCCATGCTATAGCTACTCTAGGTTTCCTAATCTATGGCCGCCACGAAAGAGTCTGGAATATGGATGCGATGGAACTCTGGTGAACACGACTAATTGCTTGACATCTTCGCCTATATTCCCGAACCGGATTTCTGCATTGATTACTAGAACGAGAAGTTATACTGACTGTACTCTAAGAAGTCAGACAACACATCGCCTAGCAAACCATCTTCCTGTGCGACATATCCACCCTCCAATGTGCCAACACCTTTTTCAAGCTCCGACAGGCCTTTGAATCTATCCACCATCATGTTAAAAACCTCTGGTAGGTATCTTGCTGGCATCTGAGTTCCCCCGATCGCTATCACGTCCTCCTGCTTTCTTTCCAACCTTCCAAATGTTTCCCTCAAGTCTGCGGCAGACACAAGTTCCGCGTTCCAGCTGCTATGTTTGACACGGCCGCTAGGCGTGACAGAATGAGCAGTGCACGGGCCTTCATGGCCTAAAAAGCATATGGCAGCGAGAGAATCGTGTCCGGAGGAAGCTCGCAGAAGGTAGAGATCAGCGATTGAATAGCCGACAAACACGAGAAGAACAGTTTCGTGCGAAGGCTAGTGAAGGAAGAGTTTGAAGGGAACAGGCGATCATTCAGCACGATCTTGAAGAGATATATCTAGAGGATCTTGTGCGACATGTCTAGTAGGGATGCTTGGCTGATGGATGCTCGTTTCATCGGATCGATATCTGCGACCTCCTTTTCGAGCATCGAAATGCTGAAAGAATTGGATGGCATCATTCCTGATAAGGGATCGAGATCGTCGTTATAGAGGACGTCTCCCACTTTGTCGGCCTTTTGCTGCAAACGAACGAGGTGAATGAGATAGACATCATGCGGACTTTCTTTCAGGGCTGCCATTGCTCGACAGCTAGTGTCGACATATCTTGTTGATTTCAATGCTTGCATCTCTTTCAGGCAAATCTTAGTGCTAGTTCTTCATTAATGAACCATACCTGGAAATTGACCTTAGAACTCACATTGATGTCACCCAGAAGACACCGAGGAAAATCCTGAAGTCTTCCGCGGTTGGAGGCGTAATGGCCAAGCCCTCCGAGGTCAAGTCGCTGAGACCCCCTGCGGAAATCTTCGACCTAGCGTAAGAGTCAAAGTTGAGGCCAAGATCCGCCAAAACCGCCATGGCCATGTGCTCTATCATGAGGAGTTGCTGCCCTAGCTGCAAGTGTATCTGGTTCCTGTACAATTTTGTGGTAAGTAGCGGTAGAGCAAGGCGTAAGAGCACTTACCAGCCGATATACACCAGCATGCCCTCCAAAAGCCCAAGATTTCTTTCCCCGCGTAACAGCAATGCTTGATTAAGTTCCTCTCTGACCAGCTTTGCGAGAACCAACTGTTTGTCTGGGCTGTGCTGGCAAGCCGCCATCATGATTGCTAGGTAGAGAATCGGTTTCTCAAGCCTTAGTGTTTGCATTGGTGACACTCGGATGCGTCGTCACCCTAGTCGCACGATAGTCGGATGTGTCGTCACACGATGATCATGCGTCGGCACCATAGTCGTATGCATCTCAGCACAGTCTCTTGCCACGACTCACCCACTTATTTCGCATATATATAGACTCCTGCAAAGGACTCCTCTAGCAATACAATTGAATGCAGTTCCTCATGTCTCTGGTGCCTCACATAGCTTCACACTTAGGCTCTCCGCTGTAACCGAGTCCGATACGGCAACGAAGGGAAACAATGGCACCAACTCGATGCGGTAGAAATCCAGCAGTTGTGCCGCTTCATGATCGGTCGGTAAGAACGTGTCGGTAGTTCCGGGAGGGGTTGGATCCGGAGTCTTATATACACTAAGCTTTAGAACATACTATCTCTACATCCTAAGACGCGCCCTAGGCTCCGAGCCCCAGCTAAGGCTCTTAGTATACGTGACAGTTAGTGTTAAAATTAATATTTTAAACTATATGTTAATTCCTTTAGTTAAATTAAATGCTTTTATATTAAGTATATTATATTAAACCTTACTTACTAATTTTACACTTTAATAAGTAACTTAAGTAAAGATAGTATAACCTAAAGACTATGTTAGATATAGTATTATATAATTTTAGAAGTAAGAGTAAGGTATAGCTACGCTATTAAATCTAAGTAAATCTAGTGCTTTATTACACTACTAAAGTGTATTTTATAAGAGGTAGGCATTTATATCTTAACGATTAACTTTTCTTTTAATTATGTAAAGTTAACTAGTATTAAATAAAAAAGTCTAGTTCTAACTATAGTTAAGCTTTAAAATAATAATAAAGTATAAAAAGCTTTTTAACTACACTATTTAGCTAGTCTTTTTACTTTTAAATTAAATATATGTTTTATAATTATATAAAGCTATATAGTTTCTTATAAAGTATAAATGTATATATAGTATATATAGTAAGCTAATTAGCAAAGCAATTTTTTAAAAAAAGTTTTAAGTTTAAAAATAGTAAAAGTAATTCTACTAAACGTAAAATAGAGTAATAAGTATTATATAAAATTCTAACTTACTAATAAAAGAAAAGGCGCTTTAAAAGTTACTACTACTAAGCTTTAACCTGCTAATTTACTATATTTATACTATAAAAGTAGCATTAATTAAATAAAAGCTTAGGTTTTATAAACTTTTAAAGCTAGTAATAAGTATTTACTAGTATAGCTATCTTTATTTTTTAATTAAATCATATAAAATATAGTTAACGTACTTCACAGGCAAGTTGCTTACACACCTAAGTTACTTACTTTTACTAAAACTCTACTAAACTACTCTTTTTACACTAATGCATTTCTAATAACACTACTTAGATGTGCTAAAAGAATATTAGATATAGCTTACACTTTAAGCTTTTAAATAAAATATAAAACTTTTAAAGAAACATGCTACAGCTATATATAAAGTTTTTTAAAAAATAATAAATAACTATAGCACTAGATAACTTTTATAAAGTAATTCTATAGCTAACTTATAAAAGCTAGGTAATAATAAAAGTAGGTAATTATTAAGACTATACTTAAGCTATATGCATAAGAATTTTTCTTTTAAATAGCATTTATAGCTAATATAGCTAATTCTTTACACACTAAGCAGAATCTAGGCTATATTAGCATAAACTAGCCTAGTATGTTTATAAAGTGTTATTTAAAGCTTAAAGTAAAGTTTTAAGTATAAGTATAGTTAATAAATATTTAGCTTATAATAAAGCTTATTTTACTAAAGTTATATATGTTATTATTTTAAATACTATAGTTAGCTTTAATATTCTTTATAAGGCTAAACCTGCTCTAAATTACTTTAGAACTCTTATAAAAAGCTCTTTTATAGTTATACTACACTTAAATGTTACTTTAAGCTTTAGATAACACTTTCTAAACATACTAGGCTAGTTTATGCTAATATAGCCTAGATTACACTTAGCGTGTAAAGAATTAGCTATAAATGCTATAAATGCTATCTAAAAAAAAATTTATATATATAGCTTAAGTATAGTCTTAATAATTACCTACTTTTTATTATTACCTAGCCTTTATAAGTTAGCTATAAAATTAGCTTATAAAAGTTATCTAGCGCTATAGTTATTTATTATTTTTTAAAGAACTTTATATATAGCTGCAGCATGTTTTTTTAAAAGTTTTATATTTTATTTAAAAGCTTAAAGTGTAAGCTATATTTAATATTCTTTTAGCATGTTTAAGTAGTGTTGTTAGAAATATATTAGTATAGAAAGAGTAGTTTAGTAGAGTCTTAGTAAAAGTAAGTAACTTAGGTGTGTAAGCAACTTGCCTGTAAAGTACGTTACTGCTTTATTTTTTAAGTGTCTTAAAAAACTAGCAAAAGCAGCTAATAGTAGTGTAGGTAGAGATTAAAATACAAAAGCTTAACGTACTTCATGGGCGAGTTGCTCACACACCCGAGTCGCTTACTTTTGCCAAGACCCCACCAAACCACCCTTCCTACACTAATGCATTCCCCACAACACCACTTAGACGCGCTAAAAGAACGTTAGATACAGCTTACACTCTAAGCTTTTAAATAAGACATAAAACTCTTAAAGAAATGTGCTATAGCTATGTGTAGGGTCTTGTAAAAGACAATAAATAACTATAGCGCTAGACAACCTTTACAAGCTAATTCTACAGCTAAATTATAGAGGCTAGGTAATAAAAAGAAGCAGGTAATTATTAAGACTATACTTAAGCTATATGCGCGAGGAATTTCCTCTTAGATAGCATTTGTAGCTAATATAGCTAATTCTTTGCGCGCTAAGCGTAATCTAGGCCATGTTCGCATAAACTGGCCTAGTACATTTGTAAAGCGTTATTTAGAGCTTAAAGTAATGTTTAAGCGTAAGTACAACTATAAAAGAGCCCTCTGCAAGAGTCCTAGGGTAATTTAGAGCAGGTTTAGCCTTGTAGAGAATATTAAAGCTAAGTATAGCATCTAGGATAATAACACGTACAACTTTAGCAAGACAGGGTTTATAATTAGCTAGATATCTCTTAACTATACTTGCGCTTAAAACTTTACTTTAAGCTCTAAATAACGCTTTACAAACGTACTAGGCTAGTTTATGTAAACATGGCCTAGATTACGCTTAGCGCGCAAAGAATTAGCTATATTAGCTATAAATGCTATCTAAGGGGAAATTCCTTGCGCATATAGCTTAAGTATAGTCTTAATAATCACCTGCTCCTTTTTATTGCCTAGCCTCTATAATTTAGCTGTAGAATTAGCTTGTAAAGGTTGTCTAGCACTATAGTTATTTATTGTTTTTTATAGGACTCTGCACATAGCTACAGCACATTTTTTTAAGAGTTTTATGTCTTATTTAAAAGCTTAGAGCGTAAGCTGTATCTAATGTTCTTTTAGCGCGTCTAAGTAGTGTTGTGGGGAATGCATTAGTGTAGGAAGGGTGGTTTGGTGGGGTCTTGGCAAAAGTGAGCGACTCAGGTGTGTGAGCAACTCGCCCATGAAGTACGTTACTTAAAAGTAAGAATATCGCAAGCGTTAGTAAATTATTATATTAATATTATATAATTACTTGTATGGCTAGATGTTCTAGAACAGGCTAGTATAGCTTCACCCGACCTGTTTAGAGGTCACATGACCTGTGCTTCGTGTATAAGCATGGATCCTAACAAGCGAGGCTTAGTAGCAATTTGTCTCTCTTACAATACACTTCTATCTTTCTCTAAAACTTTGCTCTTAGTGCTATCTATGCTATCTACTATCCTATCTTTACAATTATAGCTAGAACCTAGCGATCACAACAATTGCTAGCAGGAATATAGTCTTAATCTTCCTCTACTGTTTAGAAGATTGTAGTTGTTCTTATATTTAAGGTACAGCCTTAGGTATAGCAATATATCTAATATTATTTCTAACCTAGCGCGTGCAAAAGATCTCTTCCTGTTTAGGAGAGAACTAAAGCTACCTAATTATCTTATACCTTCACCTTGTCGTATATTTTTGTCATCCTCCTCTCTAACTAAACGTCCGACTAGATTGTATAAAGGACTATACACTCTTTGTACCCTGTTATATTATAGAGAAGTATTACCCTACTCTCTCTCTACCTTCCCTCTTCTACCTTCCCTCTTCCCTCTTCCCTCTTCCTTAAGACCCTCTGTCACCGCTAGCAGATCACTAACAACAGACAGGCTAAGGTGAGATAATATAATATGTAGCTAGTAAATACTAAATAACAATGTTAACTTAAAACTTAATGCCTCTTATAATACAGCTACTGTGTTGCAGTTTACTACAATTTGCTACAATTTGCTACAATCTACTATAATCTACTACAAGTTGTTGTAACCTACTGCAAGTTACTATATTTTACTATACTATACAATAGTTTGCTTACCCTTTCTAAGGCTACTAGCTAATCCTTAGCAAACAACTAAACACTAGTCTCTTATACTCTTACACTGTCTTACACTTTAATTCTA